AATTCTGTAATTTTATACTTCCATCGATCAAAAAATGAATTTATGGTCTCCGTATTTTCAGCATTGTAAAAGTCTGCGTAATTTAATTGTTAATCTAAGGTCAAAAGTGAATTAGCATAATAATACCTGAACTGCACTGCCCTGAAATCCCCTGATAGGCATCTTTCTGACTCCTGCTATTATAAAACTGTTCCCATTGGTTCTTGACCCTATTAAAGTTGTTCCTAGATAAGCTTTGCAAGGGTAGTGTGTGAGAGCCTCTCTGAATAAGCAGTCCTTAGATGATGCCATTGTGATGGGGGGTGGCTGTTTTTTATGTGAGATATTAAGGCTACAGAGAGAGCCTCTGTTGAGCCTGTATCAACCCTGATGCTTGTTATGATCTCCCCCTTGTTTTCACAAACTTTGTTAGAAATTTCACTGCTTTTCTTCAGAGTCCATTCTGACAACATTAAATTATACGTTCAAAGATATAAAATTATTTGAGGCTGGGTTTTTTTTCCCCTCCTCATAGTATTTATTGTATTTGGGTACATTGTGTTTTACTATTCAGCCTTAATGTGCTTTTGCTGTCCTAGGTATATTTATTAATTAAGGTCTTCTCTATGTTTTAAAAGCCTGTTAGTTTTAGGTGCTATTGTTACCAGTGCTTAAATCTTGAGTTATAAAAAAAACCAAAACAACCAGATCCAACAGCCACTTAGCAAGGTGGCAAAAGGCTTGTAATAGTGATGTAAGAAGTGCATTTAATGCCATAATGTATCTTTGGTTTTGAGAGGCTTTGATCCAGGGAGGTTTTTCAGGCACCTGGCTCTGGTAGCAGAATCTGGTCTTGTGGTTCTTATATTATAAAACGCAAGGGAGAGTTAGGAAACTTTTTGAAAAGCACTGTGCTGAAATGAACTGTCTAATGTGGTAAATGGGGAAATGAGGGCAAAGGTGAAGTGACCAAAAATGGGGTCCTCTTGGAATCCACTTGGGATTCCTTTGATTTTTGTGATGGTTATCTTCCACAGGGAGTCTGGCAACACCACAGCATTATGCCTCTGAGTGAAATGCGGCCACACCTGAGTTTGGACCTCACGTGGCCGCCTCATGTATAGTTCCATCCTGTAAATCTTCCTTTTCATCTGGACTCGCAAACCGCAGCTCAGCACGATGCACTGGGTGTGCCGTGGCTGAGTTTTTTTTAAAAATAGGTGGAATATTTCTGCTTCAGACCCGGTGCTACGGTTAGATTGGTTAAAATAATCCAGCTTGTGGCCCAGAGAAAGCAGCCCAGTTGCAGGATCACGTTGCAAGGCTGGAGCATCGGGGTCGGGCTCCCCGTTGCCGCGAGCTGGGCGAAGTCATTTGCAAAACGATGGTTGGTCTGTGCTCTGCACCTTCAAAGTGGCAACACGGTGTACCAGGATAATGATGAAGGCATGCAGGTTCTCTTGGAGAAATGTCAGTTAATTATTCATTGTGAGCTGTTTGTTGAACTCTTGCTTGCTGGGTCTCGCGTGTTTTGAACTGGTTTGGAAGCCGAGCAAAATACAGGAGGGAATCGAATGCTGTATGTCTGCCTGCTAATTATTTGCTTACTGATCCGTGGAAAAAACCCAAACATAACAGGCATTAAACTAGGTATTGAAGTTAGCATTAGAGAATAGCTCTGCCACATGGAAAGGCAGAAAAACTTTTAAGAAAAAGCTGTTTTGTAGGAATAAGTTGCGCTTCGTTTTTATCGCAGCTGTTTACTTTGAACAACTTTTGGGGAGTCCTTCTGAAGCTCAGAATGCATGGACTAATGGTGTTTTATGTATAGTTGGGTAGTATCTTATTTTCATTTGCATAATTCAAGTGAAACCAACAAATTGCAAATAAGGGCAGCATAAATGCAGTGCCAGCAATCCCTAGCATGACCAAGTGCAGCAGGGGAATGCAGGTGGGGATAGTTGATCAGATGGTTAAATAAAAACAAGTGGAAAATAACTACAATATTAAAAAAAAAAAATGGGGAGGCATTTGCTCATTTAAGTGACCTTTTATTTATAGGAAATGGAATTTTTTTGAAACCTCAAACCAGCTTGCACCGGCTGCATGTTTTGCGGTTTAGAACTAAGAAAAGTTCCACTTAGACACATGCACTTGGAGAATAAAGTCCTTGGGAGTAACCAAGGTAATCCTTGCAGATCGTTAAAACTCTCCATGAAAAAGATTGAGATACCAGTTGTAAGGAAAAAAAACCCAAACCAAAGCACATTGTTAAGCAGTTTATCTGCAAAGGGCCAGTTTCCCATACAGGAAAGGGTTGGTGTGTCTGACAGGAGGTCTGACAGAAGGGGAGCTCTGGAACGAGCAGTTCTCCAGAAGAGGAGAGCAGGCAGTCTGACGTGAAGACTGTGCACACAAAACTTGTGCCAGACTCCTCTGTCTTAACATTGACACCTACTTAGAGCCACCCAAGGAGAACAATTTAATTACCTAAAAATTGTGAATGGTTCCCCCCTACCAGATCTGGTATGTGCTAAGCTGATAACGACTGGTCGGGGAGATGAGAGGCTCAGATCAGTGGAATGATGGTTGCTTAGCAATTCCAGGCAAGAAATGCATCTCCCCTTCCTCCAAGATCACATGAGATACTTTTGCCAACACCATCCCTGTTCACTGTGAGCAAGACCCTGAAACATGGAGCTGTGTTAACTTCAGCACTCCTGAGGGCATGGAGTCCTCCTAACTTTCATCAGCAGGAGGACTAAAAGGGGTCAGAACTGGTCAGAATCAAATCACTTCTTACAATCGTTCTGGTAATTATAGAAAAGTACTGCTGCTGGGAGGTGGTTATGGATTTGTATACACCTCAGCTGCTCCTTTTTAACCTTCTGAGAAAGCACTCTATTATCTTCCTTTTCTTCTCTTGCTTTATCACCTGCTTCTTTCCTTAGGCGTTGGAGGGGGAATAAAAAAAACCCTGAAAAATTATTGAGCTTCACAAAACGCACTGAAATCCTCTCTCTGAGTGCCAAGGGCTGGAGGTGGGGAGGGGAAGGAGCAAACTTCATCCCTTCTCTCATGTTCTGAGTACTCAGAAGTTGCCTATGAAATGAAGTACTTGGGGTTTCATAAGTGGCTAGTGGGGAGCAGGGTCAGTATCGTGCTATCTTCAGGAAAACAGGAGTGCACAGCGGTAAGAAGTGTTCTACAAAGGCACTTCACATTTCAAGTATTCTTTTTCTGGGGAAAAAAAAGTTATCATACATCTAGTTTTGAGTGTATTTATAGCTTTATAATGTGTTAACAGAATAAAGCAAATTTCTGTAGCTCTATCTAGAAAATACAAGTGGAGGAAGAAGTGATTACATTTCAGATTATTTCTCTCTATCAAGGATATCGAGTTATTTGGAAAATAATGCAAAAATTGAAAATAGAGAGTATTGTTTATTTTTTTCTTCAAGTTTTCTTTCTCAGCACGTTTCTCCATATTTATTTCCTGCCATTAAATGGACTGCCAAGGTTGTATTAGCATCGTCCAAAATGGGAAAGATGAATTCAGCGTGTAAACGAATCACAGAGTATCTCAAGTTGGATGGGACCCATAACGATTATTGAGTCCAGCTCCCTGCCCCTTGCAGAACCACCTAAAACTAAACCATGGGACCAACTCTGTCAGCTGTTGCCAGGCTTGCTGCTGTGCCCACTTGGCAGGGAGGTCTGTTCCAGTGACTGCCCACCCTCTCAGTGAAGAGGTGAATGATAGTATGTGAGGGGTATTTTTCTGTGAATAGGGAAAATAAAAATTCACAAAAGGGGTGAAATCAAAAAAATTGAGAAGGAGCAGGAGAACAGTACTGGTAGAGTTCTGCAAACTCTGTGTGTATTTATGATGTGCCACCAGCAAGAAGAGAAGTTTGGAACTACTGCTTTTTTTACAAATCAGTGTGGCCCCTGTCCATGGCCAGTCATTCCCACTTGGACACTAAAACAGGGGCAGGTTGCTGGATTCCTCCCAGAATCACGGAATTACCGTCTCCTAAGGTGATGTCATCTGACTGTGAGCCATAATTGGGACACACTAAGCACCAACAGGGTTTGGGACCTACTGGAGCAAACATGACAGCAAAAATTAGGGAGGTCTCTGTGTACTGTCTCTCTGTGATATAAAGAAAATGATATTTCCTTTTCATGTGGAGAATCAGAGCTGTGCACTTTCATTTCCCTCCAAAGAAAAAGGCTGGACTTAAAATCAAATGAGATACTGGATTGATCCTCAGTATCTACTTAACTGCTGTGTCAGACTCCAGCATGAGCAGGAAACAGAAGCTTCTTCAAAGGGACAGTCTTCCCATTTCAAAATACAAGATTTCTCTGACCATTACGTCCCTTGGGGATCCCTGCTGGGACAGGACCCTTTAACATCTTTAATAATGACCCAGATGGCAGGACAGCAGACTCTCAGGAGCTTTGCAGATGTTAGCTTGCTGAGAACATGGCAGGGCAGGTCCAGAGGGACCTTGGTAAGCTGGAGAAAAGGGCTGACAGGGACCTCCTACAGTGCAGTGGTGACAAATGTGATGCCATCACCTTGGGCAGAAAAATTCATGATTTAATACAATCTGGGGGTTCAACAGGCTACAGAGCAGTTTTGCAGAAAAGTTCCTGATGTGGTCTCATTTTTTATTGATATCTCAAAAAGCAATTAAGCTGCAAGGAAGGTTTTAGGGAAAAGTCATGAGCAAAATTCTGGATGAACATTGCCACATCCTACTGAGGATGGTCCACATCATCACAAAAGCTGCAGTAAAATTTTCTGGGTTATTTCTAACCTAACTAACCTGTCTCTAGCATCTCTGTGTATTTTGGTTACTCCCTTGAAATGCTTAAACTTATTGAATGGGTCACTTTGGTTAGGTTCAAAAATAATTCGTGCCTTGAGCGCTTACCAGCGAGTAACTGGCAGTGTAAATGTTTCTCATCCTTGGTTTTTTTTACATGCATTATGTGACTGTTTCTTGCAGAGACTGAAGGAACTGAAACACAGGGAGTTTGCACGAAATGTAGCATCTAAGTCACGAAAAGATGAAAGAAAGCAGGAGAAAGCCCTTCAACGCTTGCACAAGCTGGCTGAGCTAAGGAAAGAGAGAACGTGGTAAGTGCATGGCAACTGAAACATAAAAAATATTTTAAAATAAGCCCTCCACCGTTAACTGGTGCTGTGGGATGCAGGGTGTTGGAGTCCCTTGGCTGCAGCCCCACACATGTGTTTTTATGGCATTTTGGAAACTGTATGTGTACAGTATTTGGTTCACACTATATGCAGAAATGAATGTTTAACGTTGCTTTTTCAGCTGAGCTGAAATGACACGTATTTTTAGTTCAAAAAAAGACGTGTTTCATATATATTTCATAAAACCAGGCACATTGGTTGAAAGCTGAGTGAACTAGGTCATGCATTTGCAGGCTGGCACTACTTCATTGATGAGGTGAGGAACACAGTCTGTCTCTCTAGGATGTAACAGATCTCTATGATTTAGATTTCAAAATACTTGCCAGGGAAATCTAGCTTTAAATTTCAATAGCTGGTTTTTATATATTAAAAGGTAAGTGCTCCTTTTTTCCCCAACTCAACAGAGTGTTTACCTCCCTCTGCAAAAGTGACTCCTTGCTACTCATACATTTAACTGTTGCATCCAAACATACTGTAGAAATTAATATTGAGCTTGCTGGCTGTGACTGAATGCTCAAGTAGGACACAGTTCTGACACCGATAAGCCACTGAAAATACATGTACTCATCACAGTGTAATCTCTCTGGGGAAAAAAAAAAGGATAAAAAAAAGGTAGATGCTCAAGTGCAAACGTTTTCTTTTTATTCAGTCCTCGTCTCACCAGACAAACCAACAGAGAAGTCCAACCAAGTTGCAGCTCTTGTTCAGAAATAGTCTCTTTCCCCCTAGTTTGGATGGTGGGCAGCCTGTTGGAACAGAGCCTGTCTGAGCAGGTGGAGAGGATGTGAACGTTGTGAGGTCTATTTGGCACGAGAAGCGTGACGCATAATGTTTTAATCTTTTTATGATAGCTCACTCTTCCTCCTCTATGAGTATTTTAACTGTCCAAATTTCATACTTGAGTATATTAGATATTATTCCCCTTAAACACGCTCCAGAATCTGAATTTAGCATATTTCAGGAGAAAGAGGAAAAAAACCCTTACTGTTTCCCTTTTTCCAGATTTTGCAAGCTTTTGTTGTTTCTGGATTTTTTTTTTTTTAAATATCTTTTTTCTAGTTCCTGAAGGAGAACTTCTATCTGAGCTTTATTTTTCTACCTAATAATTGCTGTTTACTACCGCTTTGCATCCTTAGAAGTGAGATACAGACAGACACAGAAGATTTTTTTTAAGCTGGTATTTTCTAGGTTGGTTTTGTAGAAGTCACCATTTTATTCTTTTAAAGGAAGGGTTTGTGTGGAGTTTTAAATATATATTTTAAATTTATGAAGAACTGGGCAAGGCAGGAATTCTTATGAGGAATTCATCTCTTGTAAAACTTCTGCTTTAATTTCTAGACCCAATTGGGTCATTATTCTTTATCTCAGCACTTTTTGGGGTCCTAAATGACAGTTGCAGGATTTTCCCAGTGACTCATCATCTAATATTGCCCTTCACTGTAAGACAGAATAATTTGGTTCAAAAAAACAAATTGTTTTAACACAGGTCCATTACTCCTAGTGCTTAGCAGTTCCTGTGGATCCTGGAAAACTGGCAGTTAAACACTTTTTGCTTTCCTCTTTCCTTCCTATTAAGTCAAATAGAACAGATGGGAAGAGGAAAAGAAAAGGGAGAAGAGAAGCAGACAGTGATAAATTTTTTCTCAAGAGGGATGAATCACTTAATTCATTCCTGTCAGCTGAAATACTCTCCCCAGTTTTATTTTTCCATGAAAGAAATTGCTGAGATGGCGTTGGTTTGGTCTGTGAACACAAATAGGATGGGAGCTGCTGGGGGATTGCCTGTGGGCAGAGCAGCAGTCACTGGAATGATGACTAAGAGGAAAGTGCTCCATGAGGTGCTCTCTGTTTTAATATATTTTGTAGCACTAAGGAATGTAAAACCTCCACTATTTGTAGTAATAGTGTTGTAACCATGCTGGTCTACTGGGAGGAGAAGCAAGATTTCTTGGGAGATATACAGTCTCTTATTTGGCCAGCCAGTGTGTCTAGGAAAAGTTAACTACTTTGTAGGAATATGAGTCCTTCAGCTGGAAACACATGAGGGAGCTGAGAGCATAATATTTACTCATTTTTTTCCCCCCTCTAATACTGGTCAACTGATCTTATTATAAAAGATGGCGTTTTTTCAAACATTCTAAATCCACATATCCACAGATTCCTTGTCTTTCCTTAAAAAACTCTCTTAGATACCAGTGTAATACTATGTTTCTGTTAGCAGTTCTCTGCAAGGTTTTGACTCAAAAGAGTTTTGTTTTCCTTCCTAGTGCTCCTGGAAGCGGCCCTATGTTCAAATCCACTACAGTGACTGTGCAAGATGACTGCAGTGATATCCCAAAAAGTGCTGCCATGGATTCTGCCAACCAGCAGGATTCCAGCTGTACATTAACGCACGATGCACAGAACTGTAAAGACGTTGCTTCTGTTATTCCTTCCACTCCTGGGGATGTGTGTGGTAATAAATCCGATGCTAACAAATGTGGAGATCAGATTCAGGGAGCTCAAGGACACAGAGTTGGGTTCTCCTTTGCTTTTCCTAAGAAAGCAGCAGTGAAACTGGAGTCTTCAGCTGCTGTTTTCTATGAATATAATGACGAAACTTCTATGGAGCACGGATTTAGCAGAAGGAGTAGGTTTATTCCAGGAACATGTAACCTTCAGCCTCCTTCAGCAGCAGAAATAGTCGTATGCCCTGAGGAGAAACAAAACTGGTTTCACCCACTGGTGGAAAAGTGCACAGACACAGCAGAAGCCCCTGAAGCTCAGGATGCAAAAGAGCTGGCCAGTGAGGAAAGCAGGGTGCTGGAGAGTCCCTCCTTAACTCCTGCTCTGTCCCACTCAAAGCAACTGGTGTCCTCAGACACAGGTGGCTGTGCTATGGATGTAAGCGGAGCTGACTTACCAGAGCAAACTCTGCCCATGGCTGTGGACAGCACTCAGGTCCTGCCCCTGGACAGCAGTGGGCACGAGCTGCAGGCAAACAGGCCTCTTGTGCAGGAGGGTGTGGAGGATTGTTTGTCTCTGCAGGACGTCGCAGAGGAAAACGACAAAGAAGGCAAGAGCGATCCGTCCACAACTGAAACAGAAATAAAGGATCCGGGGGCAGATGCAGTAGTTTCATCACCATCTGAAGAAGGTAGTAGTGGAGCCCCAAAAACCAAACCAGACGTGCACAAGAGACCGTGTCAACCCTTTGTTCCTGTTCTTAGCAAATATGGATCAAATATTCTTCAGTGGCCATCAGAAATGTTAATTTACACAAGTACAGACCCATCCATTTCTTACAGCTGTAATCCTTTATATTTTGATTTTAAGTCATCCAGAGCAAGTGACAGTCAAGAAAAGCTCAAACATCAACCAAACATACCTCATTTGCACCATAAAACTGAATCTGACCATATCTTAGTCTCGGATTTTACAAATAAACCTACTTCAGAATGTGGTGATTATGAAGCAGAAGCGAATAAAAATGTGTGCAACTATACAATACCCCTTATAAATGATGTTTCCCTTTTCAGAAATTGTGACCTTGCAAAAAATCAAAACAAAGTGTCCTTGGATGACTCATTCAGAATTAGAAAAATAGAAAAGTATCACATATCTAAAAACCACTTACGACAAAACACTGTGATAGATGAGAAATATAACAAAGTCTGGATCAAAGAAAGCCATGAAAAATGGCTTCACAAAAGCAGAAAAAGGAAAAGGAGAAGAAAATTATGTCGTTGTCATCATCATCACTGTGGGGACACAACAGCAGCAGAAATGGAGATGTCTCCAGTACCTGAGAAAGAAATTACTTACAGAGATGAAAATAAATATCAGCACCTCCAGAATAATGCAGAGAAGTGCAGGCATGATGCAGGGAATATCTGGTTGACTACAGGTGAGATACAGCAGTCACATCTAAAACTCGGCATTGAAAATGGTCATAAGAGAGTCATGTCTGCATCAGATCACGTACACTGGGACAGAGGCTGGTGTGACTTTTGGAGTGCAAAAAATAGTGGCCAACACCATGGTTGTAAACGACTGCACAGAAAGAGCAGAGCAAGCTCTCGAAGACAGGCAAAGCAACTGGCTCCAAGTTCCAGGAAGCACAGCCTGAGGCACTCTAAAACATGTTGTAGCTGGAAAGTCAGGAGGTCAAGCTGTAGCCCAGAGCATAAATGTTTAGGACAATGCAGTGGTGAGAAGGGTCCGAGTCAAAACCAGTCCGTAAAGCGAGGTTACAGTGTTCTGACCGAGGAACCTGAAAAATGCCACCGCAAGCGGAGGCAGCACAGCTACTCCTCTTCATCAGATGAGAGCTCCTGTGGACAGGCATTATCAGCAGAGGAATATCTAAGGCAAATGTCTACTTTAGTTACATATCACAAAGCAAAAGGGAAACACAAAAGAAGGAAAACTAGAATCCATCATGTTTTCCTTGACAGGAATGCAAGAAGTGAGACCTCTGGACCTGCCAAAGAAAATTCTGCAAGTTCTACATTAAACGTTTTGGGGGACTTATTGGCTCAAGACAATCTAGAGGAAACTAATGCAGATCCCAAAGCTGATGGTGCAAAAGATACAGATGAAACAATGGAGCTGGAGGAAAGCAAGTCACCTGTAGAAGGTGATGGTTCACACGTGCTGGAAAACGATAAACTGACAGCGAGTGCAGCGATGGAGAGTGCCCCGGATACGTTTTCTGATGTCATCGCAGGCTCTGCTGCTTCTGTTCCTGAGCACAGTGCTCCGGCAGCTGCTGGCACACAGGATGTTCTGCAAGATGAAAAGAAAAAAGAAAACACCACCAGTCACGAAAATCAAGCTCGTTACAAAGTTCCCCTCTCCAACAGACGTTTGGAACCGGCTCCTCCTAAATCCTATCTTTGCCATTATGAGTTGGCCGAGTCTCTACCGCACGAGAAAATGAGTGAGGTGACCAGTGAGTGGGTACAGTGTAACCCTGGCATATTTAGCAGCCCGCCACCCTTGCCATTCAAAGAAGCACATGTGAACAGTCATACCTTTTTGACTACCGAGCAGTTAATAGCCCCCTTCCCCCTGCCCGATCAGACATTGATATTCCCTCCCGACAACCACGAAAAATTCAAAGAGCTGCCGTCCGAGGCGTATCAGCAGATCGTGCCACAGGGCGTGCTGGCCAACAAAGTGAAGTTCGCCTTCCCCCCCGCGGCGATCCAGCCCCCGAGTTCCCCTCTGCAGCCCTTGCCCCTGCAGCCGCCGCTGTGTTCTACCTCGGTCACCACCATCCACCACACGATCCTGCAGCAGCACGCCGCCGCCGGCACGCTCAAGGTTCTCCAGCCCCACCAGCAGTTCCTCTCGCAGGTCCCGGCTCTTTCCAGAGCGCCTTTACCTCATCTGCCGGTGGGACCGAGGCTTTGCCCGGGGGGCCACGCCGCCTTCGTGGCCCCGCCGCACTTGCCGCTGCTGCCGCCCTCGGTCCTGCACCCCACCCAGCTGGCGTTTCCCCCGCTGCCACACACCGTCTTCCCATCCCTGCTGTCCCCGCACCCGGCTGTCATCCCCCTCCAGCCTCTCTTTTAGGACAGGGATGGGATGGGGAAAGGACCCTTCAGCTAAACGGTCCTGATGTTTCCACGGTCCCCTCAGCTTTGCAAAACGGTTCTGTGAACTAAGCTGGTTAAAATGCCTCGTTCCCTGGGAAGCATTTACTGTAAGTATAATGATGCAAACATTCATGGCAAGTTCAGACCTGTACTATAACTAAAGCACTGAATAGTCTGATACTAATTATGAACTATATATATATATATATATAAGTGAAAATCATGTCTTAGAATATGTATAATGTATATAAAATATATTTATAGTTCTATAACTTATGTTGTAAAGTATTCACCTTTCGTTTTTTATCTTTGTGTATTTGCACCTATTTAATGTTTAGACAAAGCTGATGCACTATGTTTTGTACTATGTTCTCTGAAACTGTAAATCTAGTGACAAACTATCTCTTGCAATAAATTTTTGTTAACTACTTAAGTATATCAAAAATCTTTCATTACAAGCCTCATGGATGTTGTTCTTCCGTGTCCTTCTGCAGCTGAATGGCATCTTTTACCCCTGTTATGTTGGGATAATCAGGTTTCCCACACATCAGTGATTTATCAGGGAGGTTCAGAGGCCAATACCTTGAGGGCAGCTGTCTTACCGAGCCAGAGAAAGGGTAATAGATGTGTTTGTGTTAGTGGTTTGATGTCACCATGACAAATTTTGCCTACTTGTGGTATGTGCACAGATTGCTGACTGGTGGAGCTAATCCCTTTTATACTAAACCACAAAAAGACGATGTAACAAATGTAACATGGGTAGCGGAAGGGGGGGGAAAAATAAAGGGTAATATTGATGTCAGTTTGACTTCAAGAGGATGTTGCTTGTAGCAGCAAGGAGGGGAGGTCTGGGTTCCACCCAGCATGCTCTGTGTGATGGCACATGGCCCTCAGGGGGGTGGATCTGTCCGAGGGAGGGCCTTGCTGCCTGTGCAGTGTCTGAAGGGGGGGCCAGGAAGAGCTTTGCGTGGGAAACCCCACCAGGGTTTGACACCAATTCTTACCTCACTTCACCCCTCTCTCTCCTGCAGCATTTTGCTAAAGAAATAGAATAACACAGAGACTAATTAAAGTAATAATATACTGCCAGTATTTCTAACTGTACTACAGAGACTTCTCCCTACCTCTGCAGTCTTTTATTGAACCCCACCCAGCTTTAGCCAGTGAAATCTTCTCATTTGCTTTGGCATGAGATATGTCAGACCCACGCCTGTGATGGTCAGGAATAAAAGCAGGAGTCATTCAGAGGTAGAGTCATCTCTTTGAGTTAAAATGAAGTGTTACCATGTGAGTGAACCTAAGGATTTGCAGCATGATGGTTAGTGCTAGTAGTAGGCCCTCCATAACAAAAGGGCCTCCCAATAAATTACTTCTTTTCACCTTTTTATATAGTACAATAAAATCATGTAAAGCTGAACTGAAGGAATAGTAAATTCAAAGTATTATTAATATACATTGCATATTAATAGCTACAGATGTTAACCATTTGGAAAGTAATACTATATCCTAAAACATATGTTTTCTGCATCTAGAGCTTTAGAACTTACCTGTATCAATATTGCACGTTTTAGCACAATATTACATTAAAACTATAGCAAACAACATCTTACCACTAAAATCACAAGAGTCAGCTATTCAAGTTTTCCATGTTGTGCAGTTACAAAGGGCTAAACTACATTAATAAGCAAAAAGTTGGTAAGAAAGAGCAGATGAGCAGTGAGGTCCTGGAGAGCAGCTCGGATCCCCTGCCTGAGGCTGCAGCATGGGGTGAGATGTGGCTGAGCATCCTGCAATGCCATAAAGAAAGTCTATTTTCTCTAGTTCTGATTTCAGGTGAACGCCCATTTCTATTTATGTGGTACCTGAAAAATGTAGAAATAAGTGACTTTATACTGCTTTATTTCAAGAGTTTGCCTACATGATGTGTGTGTCTCCACTGCCTCCCGTGCTGAGCTGGTGCTGGGCATGGGAATCTCTGTTGGAATCTCTGGGAGGGGATGTGCTGGCTGCTCTCTCTGTTGCCTTGGTTGACTTGTGCTGGCTTCTGCATTTCTGCCTCCTCTGTGGGAGTCAGCACAGACAGTCCCCTGGGTTCTGGTGTCCCATCAAAGACAAAATCCACCTCATTTTATGGCAGTACACTTAAAACAAAGAATCCACATAGGACAAATATGGTTGCACGTTCTGGCAGGAGATTAAAAAAATCACCAATTTAAAATTTTCAGTTTCAATGTTCTTTGAAAAATCCCATCTATTAACTTGGAGGTCCACATTTTTTCAACAAAATGTTCCAACAACTTTGAATTCCACTTTTTTTTCTTACAATATAAATTATTTTTTTCTATATTCAGTTGTTAAACAGTTTTAAGACATTTCACAATTCTTTATTATCTACTGTAATTGCTGTTCAATAGTGTATAAACTACTTAAAATAAAAGACTAATAACCATAAAATGTAACAATTTTCTAATATGATATTGCCTTTAATGCTAAAACTGTTTGTATGTGTGACTTCATATGTAAAAGCAAAACCAGTATAAAAATAAATCACAAGTAAAGTTTAAAATTGAACACACTAAATTAAATTGCCTAATAAAATATTCTTTTGAGTTTCTGTTTTATTATTAAATATATAACTTCTAGTAAGTTATATAAGGATAGTTCTTCCTTTATATATTTTATCTGGTATTTTAGATTGTGTATTTTTGTTCCATAAATTGGTAGTCGGATTTATAAGCAAAAACTATCACGAATGCTAAATAATTGAATTTTTATCCTTCTGAAAAATTCGACCAAATTTGTTTTAAATCTAAGACATTTAATTTTGAATTTACAAATTTTCACAGATCTAGGGTGTCTATGCTCCTGGCCAGTTTGCCAATTTTTAGAATTACTGGGCTCACAAATGGCAAGAATTAGACCTTCAGAACTGAACCTAAATGAGGTTATAGATTTTGTTAAGTGATTTCCCGGACCAGCTCTGCGGAGAATTACCCGAAAAGTTAACCTGTTCCACTGAGATGAGAAGAGTATCTTTATTTTGGTCCTTGGAAAGTTGCAATCTGCCCAGCCTGACCTTCCTGGGAGCTTCCATTTCTCAGGTAACAATAATGGTCTAGAGGAGCTTTTGGGGCGTGAAGGAACGTCACTGTATCACCTTGGTATGGGCAGTTTTGGGTAACTCGTCTCTTGTCTGTCTCTCCTGTCTGTAAGTATGTAGAATTTTTGAAATGCTACCAATACATGGAAAGAATCAGATTATTTCATTTCCTTCTTAAGCTGGAATCTACACAAGCTGTCAACTGCTGGGGAGAAGTCACCAGATTTCAGGTTTTGCAGGAGTGAGCAAGGGGCTGTTGAAATATTTTTAAATTATCATGGCTTACTATCTACATGTGTGTATTATTTTATAGATCACTTTGATTTAATATTTGCAGCAGGCATATTTTTGTGTATTGTTTTCTGTGCCCCCTTCTCCTCTCTACTTCAGTTGCAAACTTTGGTGAAAGAAACACGTTGTATGGAGTGTTTTTGAGTGAGAGTGTGTTTATCATTTGGTACAGTCAAACAACAGTGAAATTGTTACGAAGCAAAGTCTTCTTTACCTTCAGTGTTAACTTTTTATTAGCACGTAAACTTTTACCATTGTAAAATAGTCATTTGGATGTGGTATTCAAACGAGGCTTTAAAGGACCACTGGGACATCCATTTTTCTTTAATATATTACTGTACATGATAATGTGCTGCTTATGCAACATATGACTATGATTTTTCTGACAAGTTCATTTTCTGTAACTGCATTTTCCTCGAAGTACACGTTTTGCGTTATGATAACGTTTACTTTATTTGCTACATTTAAAATACAGTTTTAAGTATATTTGGGCAAACTCTTCATGAGTGTAAATCACTGTACAGCTTCTGGCTTTGGTGGGATTTCATTGGTTTGTAACCCCCTGAAAATGGTTCATGTTGCAATGCTAAGGGTTTTGTTAACTTTTCCAGACTGAGGCAATACGTTATGACCATGTGAATGTATTTTGAAAACAGTTATTTGTTTATAACTGAGCTGGCAAATTTTAATCCACTGGGTATTTTGCCGTGGTGCTTGTAGTCTGCATGTTCCAAACTCCATACATTCATTTTCTGGTCTCCCTTACTGTACATTGCCTAAAGGCTTGTATGTATGTAGCAGTGCACATATTTATGCAATATGCCTACCAGTTGTAAAATATTACAGTGCTATGCTAACTCTCTTTATTGAAAGTAAAGACATTTGTACTGTATAAAGATCATTTAATATTTTTAAATTAACATGGCTTACTATCTACCTGTGTATATTATTTTATAGATCACTTTGATTTAATATTTGCAGCAGGCATATTTTTGTATATTGTTTTCTGTGCCCCCTTCTCCTCTTTACTTCAGGAACACTGTAAAGTTTTCTCTTTTTCTGTTTCTCTGTGACTCAGATTATCAGAGTTTATTGGAATTTATCTATTTATGAAAATGAACCAGGCTTTTTTATTACTTTCAACTGCAATAATTAGTGAACCAACTTTAAGAATTTTGAGACATCCTATTTTTAATTCAAGCTTCTGTTTTATTTTATGTATTTTATAAAAGGTTTGGAGAATTTCTACCCTGGGTCTAAATTTTGACTTGTTAGTGCACTTCTGAAAGCAATGGAGTTTAAGGAAGCTTTGCTATTAGTATTACTGAGGATTTATTTTGGCCTGGGGGATTAGTGCTCTTTATTTATTAAAACTGCCTAATATTTCCTGCTTTAAGTTGAATAATAATTTCATAAGGTATAATGAGGAGCACAATCTAGTAAAGAAAAATTAATCCATTTTCAATCAGTCATCTACCTCCTTTGTTGTAAAGGTATTTATGTAATTAATGACCATAAAGGTTATATCTTTCAAATCTCTGCTCTGTATTGTCAGTGTTTTGAAACACGGACCTGCGCCTTCTCTTCTGATACCAAAGAGAAAAATCAATTAGTGAAAATATTGGATTTTCTACCTGTACATGCTCATTTAGAAGTTTCAGTAAGTAGGACTACATTAATACAATGTAAGGTAAAACAATGTATCAGCAGTCTTTATTTTTGCTGGGGTGAGATCAAAATGTGCAAATCCATGTAGAGAAAAACATAATAATTAAGCAAGCTTCAAATGTGAATCCACAATGAATATAAGAGTATTACTGATGAGAATTAAAGATGGTTACTGTTAAATAAGCAGTGGTGTTTGTTTGATATGAATGAGATTTTTAAACAGAAATTATATTTTTTTTCCTCAAAAGAAGCAGCAAACAGAAAAATACTTCTGAAAATATGTGGTTTTAACTAGGTAGGATCTGTGTACCTTTCTCATGGATGAGAAACAGGAAGTAAGTATTGGACATTCAAAATCCTACATGTTATAAAGAAACATCTTGTATTTCTAGTTCAGTCATACTTTGATTTAGGCCAGTGAAACCTGGAGGAAGAATTAAGCTAAAACACAGGAAGCTGTACCTCAAAAAGTCAAGGTCTTCTTTTTGGATCGTAAGAAATCAAATGGATATTCATTTAAATTAGTATGTTTGCACTACTGTGAATGTAGAGAAGGTTAAGCCCAACTCAGGTCCAAATTTCTTCTTGCCATGTAACTTAGATTTAACAGCCTTGGTAATTTGACTCAAAACCTTCTGGCATGTAACAGAGTCTTGAGTGTGTCAAGACTCTTGTGTGTCACTGGAGTGCTGGCAAAAATGAGAGTAAAATCCAGTCTCCTTTCTCATGTTAGTAATGCCTGTTGAAACAAAGAGAGAGCAGTCAACTGTATAACGTGCTGAAGGGAGGAAACCTGAATTGGCCAATGCCTAATTCATGATTTTACTTGTGGAATTGTAGTTAGAAATAGAAGTTTACTTGCATTTTGATGTCTATACATGTGCAAGTGTGCATGTGTGTGCTGCTTCTGCCAGTGCTGGTTCAGGATTCTTTTTTTCCAGGTGTAATTTTTGTGCCTGTCATTATTTCGTGGTAAGAATAGCTTGTTTGCAACGTTTGTAGCAGAAGGGAAGAAAACATTCCAGGGAGGAATATTGACACAGAATAATAAGGGGGGAAAGAAGTGGTTACAGTATAATGAACCCATCTTTTCCTCTCTAGGGTGGAGGGAAGTTGCAGGAAGTTACTTCACCTGCTTTTTATTGCCTGGCTCTGTTTTGTATCATTTTACCACTGAAATTACCAGTGCTGTTTGCCTCAGTACGCCCTTTTCTAGCTGATCTGTCAATCCATCAGTGTCAAAGAAAAAAAAAGCAGGATAGTGAGAGAAGATCTGCATTCAATTTGCTCTTAATAAAGTCCCTTTTCTCTCTGGAGAAATTATTCACTAGAATGAACCTTCAGTGTGCAAAATAAGCTCATTGCTCTCCCTGCCACCACCTACAGCTTCACTATTTGCTCACCTTCTGTTAACTCGTCATTCTTTGGGAGCAGAAGAAATGAAAAGGAAGGTCTTTTTTTCCATTACCACCAGTTTAAGAACTGGGTGCAGAGGAAAATGTTGGAGGGTTAACCATGTGCTTCCCAGCAGAGGTGTTACTGTAAGTGGAGAGTGTCACAGTCACTGGGCATTTATTTTTCAGTTCTTTTCTGCTTCAGAATGGATTACAGCTGGTCTAAAAGAAGCGTAGGGCCAAGTGGTTTAAGTGAATAAGGCATTTAAAAAGCAAGGTGCTTTGCTGTCTTGCCAGGTGCCCATCAGCTCGAGCCCTGCTGAGTTCTCTCCATTGCAGGTTTTTGGCAGTAAGAGCTCACATAGAAAACCAGCCAGTGACTGGGTGGGTGAGGAAGTGGATTACACCTGTGTCCTGGGGCAGGTGATCATTGAATTCCCATTTGCCCAGGTAGAACAGGGTGGAACACGTTCCTTTTGCTGTGCAGTGTCTGTGTGGGTGGGTACAAGGCCTCTGGGGCAGCAGCAGTGTCTGGGAGCTCGTATGGCCTGTGGGGTGCAGGTGCATTGCTCCTCATGCCCAGCAGCTGCCCCCAGCTTTGGGTTTAGTTACCAGAAAGACTCAGGTCTCCAGCTGGGTCTCCTCCAGTTTCCCACCCATAGCAGAGGTCAGTCAGGACTCTGTTCCTGTGGTGGGACTAGGTCTGGCTTGGAGCCATAAGAGGAAGCCTAATCTAGGATAACAGGGTATTTTGTGGTTTAATTTCCACAAAATGGTGCGGGTCATAAATGTGTTATTGGTTAATAAAAAAGGCAAAATGCTGTTAAAGTTGTAAAAAGCAGATTAAAGAGAAGCTAAGCGTTGGGATGAGATGCAGAATGTCAGTCACAAAGCTATCACGAGGGAATGCTCAAAGGTAAGAAACATAATGAAGAGTAAGAGCAATAATAATAATATTTTACATGCAATATAAAATATCCTTAGATAGGCAGCATCGGTGCAAATCAGTCCTGAGTCACGGGGAGCTGAATTCTGGACAGCAGCTTGTTAGGGGAAGCAGTGCTGTATAGGATGTGGGACAGCACACACAAGGGGAGCAGTAATTGCTACTCTGAAGAATGTCTTGAACAAGAGGAGAAAGTGGTTTTAGGGGAAAACACGCAGGTAATTTTGGAGGAAAAAGAAAGGGGGTGGAGGGACTGAGCCTGGCAATATTCATTGAGCTGGCCAGCAACGCAGAGATAAGAGGCCAGGTGGAAGGGGGGCGCTGTTGCAAGGGTTTTTGAAGACAGTTTTAATAAACTCTATTTAAGCCTGTGGAGATTAGTGATAATTAACTCTAGAACCCCCCTACCTCCTTTTATCCAGTTCTCTTTGCAGGGTGCTTCTTCTTTTTTAACCCCAGGACAGCAAGCGATGGGATTTCCTGACCCAGCGCTGTGGGGCAACAGCATGAGCAGTGGGATGTCTGAAAATCCTGCAAGAGCTCAGGGACTAATTACCTGGAAAGGTGGAAGGTGCAAACACCTATTAAGAGTGTTTTTCACGGAGCAGAGTTGCAGAGAAACACGAGTGGAGACCACTGCATCTGCGTGTCTGAGAGGTTTGGTTTGAGATTTCAATGTTTTGGCCCCTCTCTGCTGTGGTGTGGCAGTGTGATGGACAGTATCAAAGCCTCTTCTCCCCGCTGTTTTTCATTATCATGCAGGGCTGTGAAGCTCCTCTCGGCTGATGGATGCGATTCAACACATCCATCGCGAGCAGATGCGTCAGCGGGAGCAGCTAAATATGCCACAGTTTGTCTCAAATGCTGCAGTTACAGAAATATCTTTCTTTGTAAGATATTTTTAAGTGAAACTCTACGCATTTTGATGACAGTGCTGAGACCCCTCTCCGGGGAGCATTGGTATTTGGGGAGCTGTCAGCTGCTTTATGACATTACCTTGCAGTGGGAAGGAGTGGAGGGATAAGCAGATATTGCCAACCAGAGATTTTTTTTGGGGGTTTTTTCTGAAGCATTTTATGTAATTCTAGCAATGGGAGAGCAAAATCCTAGTGGTCATGAGGGATTCCCTGTCTGTGACCGTTCAGCAGACAGCTGTTTGAAATTCACTGGCCTTGCAGAAGGAGAAAGCTCCATAGAATAACTGGCAAGCTTTCTTTTCATCTTTGAAATCCATAATGCATGTATATACATATTGTTAATAATTCATATTAATGGAGAGCTCTTGCCCAAGAGCACATTCCCCTATCACAGAAAATAAATTGTTTAATGATGTCTAGGATAGAAATCAGAGTCTGGCTTTAAATCCAGCTATTACAGAACAGTACTAGACATGCAGCGCACACTTCCATAAACAAATAAATTCATTACAGTTTAATAACAGTGGAAATAAAAAATGTAAGGTAATTTAAATAATGTGCAAAAATAGGTCTGTATTTTATCCTGAAGCCATAGTGCCAAGTACTCACATTATCAGGAATTCTCAATAGCCTTCAGGACCGGCCCTGGTGCAGGTAAGCAGTAAAGTAGAATTTTAATGTTATTATCTTGGCCTAAATTTATAGGGAGGCAAAATTCAGTTTTGTGGTGGTAGTCATCTGAGCCTAGGTGTTAGGTGGAAAAGAATCTGGGAATACTCAGTGACAGGCTGCAGAGTGGCTTCTGGGATTTGGGAGCAGAGGACAGGATCTGCCACTGAGGAAAAACAGGGACTGGAGATGTCAGTGATGCATTGCAGGGGTGGGAAAAACAGTGAGGGGGAGACACAGGACCTTACAGACTCAGCCTTCACTATATGCAGATAATTGTCTGTACCCTCTGTTAGCTAATTTAAGGAGTTTATTTTAATGTGTTTTAAATATAAGATGGAATTTATTTCCTGCTTGGGAATGGGTAATAACAGAAGACTCGGTAAAACAACTACATTTACCTTGTCAGTGCTCTATTTAAGCAGTAATAAGTTGGTAATGGTTTGCCTTGAACTCTGTGTATTCTCAGTTACATCATCTGTGTCTGGTTGAGCTGCTCTGAGTATGTTTTTCTAGCCTGAATTAGTCTCTGTCCGTGAGGTTTTGGTTCTATGAAGTTCAGCTCAGAAATCTCAAGCCAAGGTCTGGATTTTGAATTCAGGATATTCAACTGGGCCTACGTTTGACAGCATTTTGAGTCTGATGGGACTTTCTGGAGCCATTAAATGGTTCTGGGTGTGCTTTTTGGGCCTGTATGAGAATAATTTTGAATTTTTTCTCTCCACAAACCTGGATCCTCAGCTTCATGGACTCAGTCACTTCCTTGTAGTTTTATTGTACCAAGCATAACATATTATGGTTGTACTAACAACCATAAATAGGATCTCATCCAATTATTTTCCTAGAAAATCTCACCGTACCAAGTGAGTGTGTTCACCATACCATCTTAGAGTAACTGAATTTGGTAATTTTAAAATTGCAGGCTATATTGTTTTTCTTTTAAAGTCTGTGCAATGATTTGCACATTCCTCCTCCTTTTGCAGGCAGAGAAAATTTTGAGAGCTG